CAATCTCAATCCCAGCCCTCTGATTAGCAGTTCAGAAGAAGTTGTGGGAATGGATCATCTTCAGAGTCTTTCCAATCATCCCCTTCTCTCCTGAGTGCATTACCCTAATGCCAAAACTGAATCTCCATGAGGAGAAACTCACCATAGCAGGAGGCTTTTCAGACCAGATTGTAGCCACAGAGAATTCCCCTGCTCCTGATCATGCCATGGTTGAGGTGCCAATTGCCATTCAATCTGATATTCCACAGCATGATGATCAACTCAGGGGCAGTACAACTTCTCCATCTCGAGGGTGGAAGAGAGCAAAACCCAAAGTAAGCAGAATTAACAGAAACTCAAGCAAGTCTGACAGCTCACCCAAATCAGGGGATAAGCTCAAGAGAATAAGGGACGAAAATCAGGAGACAATGGACAATATCAAAGTGGAAAATGCCAGTGCCAGAGACAAGAAGAAAGCAAAACTCTCAATTTCTAAGGTGGAGGAAGCCAGCCTCAAGTGGCCCCAAGTGAATAAATGAAGCTAATCTTGTGGAACTGTAGAGGTCTAGGTGGGCCCTCTACAGTGTCCCAGCTGAAGGATTCCTCTCGAAGTCACCACCCAAGTTTTGTCTGTCTTTCAGAAACAAAAAAACAAAAAGATTTTATTAGAACAGTCAGCAACAAATTAGGTTTTACCAGTCGATGGACGGTTGTGGATCCTATTGGTATCAGTGGAGGTCTCGCTCTCTTCTGGGATAGCGGCATCAACATCCTCCAAATCATCAGCCATTCTTTTTGCTTTGAAGTCGAGATTGAAAGTCATAACAGAGCGGGATCATTGTGGATCATATTTGTCTATGCCAACACAGACAGGAACCTCAGAAATGAGCAGTGGGATTTTCTTATACAAGCAAAAGCAAAATGGGGCCAACAATGGATCATAGGGGGAGACTGGAATGCCATTATCCATAATGATGAAAAAAGAGGAGGTCGAGATAAAAATTTGGAGGAAATGAGAGAATTCCAGAATTTTATTAGCCAGATGGGAATGATTGAAGTGAGAATCAAAGATCATCAATTCACTTGGTCAAATAACAGGTCTCATGAGGAATTCATCGAGGAAAGACTTGATAGGGTCTTCGGTTCTTTGGAGTGGATCACTAATAACCCAAATGCTGTGATTCTAAACTGCAACAAGACTTCATCTAACCATAGTCTCTTGGTGCTCAATGAGGATACCAGTGAAGTCAACCACAGAAAGCCTAGATTTCAATTCGATAAACGGTGGCTTAAAAATGAGGGTGTAACTGAAACAGTCAATAAGGCCTGGAGTAATCAATGCTGGGGTACTCCCATGTTCAAATTCCAAGAGAAGATCAAGCTGACAAGGGTTGCACTCCTCAAATGGAGCCAAGCATTTAAATCCAATGGAGTAGACAAGATCAGTAAATTATCTCTGCAGTTAGAAGAAATGAGATTAAAGAGTGGAGACAAAAATTGGGAGGAATGGGAGAGAATAAAGCAAGAACTTGAAGCTGCGCAAATGTCTGAAGAGGCTTTTTGGAAACAAAAGTCAAGAAACTTGTGGCTGAAGGAGGGTGATATGAATTCAAAAACTTTCCATGCTCTCACTCTCCAAAGGAGGAAAACCAATTCCATTTCCAGATTGATTCTTGACAGAGGGAAAATTTGTGATGCTAAGCATGAGATTGAAGAGNNGTATGCTCCTTTTATTCAGATTTATTTACATCTGAGACTACAGCAGAGGATAATGAGATTATCAACCTTATTCCTACTGTGATTGATCACTCTATTAACCAAGACTTAATTGCCAAAGTGGATGAGGAAGAGATTCAGGCGGCTCTCTTTAGCATGAATCCAGACAAATCTCCAGGAGCAACTGGTATGTCTCCACTATTTTTCCAGCACTTCTGGCCTATTATCAAGTTTGATCTGTGTGAGGCAGTGAATAACTTCTTTGAATCTAAAATGCTCCTGAAGAACTGGAACCACACCATTATAACACTCATTCCCAAAAGCACCAACCCCACCACATTAAGTGACTTCAGACCTATCAGCCTCTGTGAAATTGCTTACAAAATTATTTCCAAAATCTTGGTTGCTAGATTGAAACCTTCTCTTCACTTGTGTGTCAGTGTTAATCAAGCTGCTTATATCCCTGGTAGGCAGCTCATGGATAATGTCATCATGGCACATGAAGTTCTTCATTTTCTAAACAGGCATAGAA